GTGGGAGGGCAAGGGGGAGGAGGATGGAGAAACCAGTTAGGGCAGGCTGGAGGACGGGGTGTGGGGGAGGGGAAGGGAAGAAGGAGGAAGTAGGAGCAACCAAACCCTGAGAGTGACTTAAAAAGGGGCAGAAGGGACAAAGAGGCACACACAAGACTCAGGCCAGGAGACCCGGCCGCACTGGAGAGAAGAGACTGTCAGGGCATGGTGCTGGCTGTGGGGACGGAAAGCAGGCCACGGCCCACAGGGCACAGTGCTCTGGGCTCCTTCCTGGGGGACACTGCCTCCTAGGACGGCAGACTGGGTGACATGTTGGTGACATGTCCAGACCCTGAGCACAGCCCTGAACTGAGTGCAGTTCTTGCCCATAGCAGCCTTGGATGCCAGTGCCCCCTCTCCATGCCCAGGTGGAGACAAACTGAACCTCCGGATATAAAGCTGGGCCTGAAATGCCCGGGGCCTGGAAGGGCCAAGCAGTTCACTTCTGGGAACCAAAGCCCAATCTGACTCCTCACCCTTAGACCTATTCCCACCTGGAGTATTCTCACCCGCCTCTGTCTTTATTTTCTTATTTATTTATTTTTCAGAGTCTCGCTACGTAGTCTGAACTACATAGCCTAGGACAGAACTGATTATATAGAGCACAGAGATCGGGCTGCCTCTGCCCTCCACTGCCCAGCCCCCACTGCCCACCCCAAGGGCTAGAGTTAAAGCCACCACGCCCACCTCACTTGTCTCTTAAAAGGTGCCCATGAGGGTCCAGGGACCTGCATCCTAGAGAATGGGATCCAGTCACTGGGGTGACCGCAGGGACCTGGGGACACAGACCTCTCTCCTAATGTCATGAAGTCCTGGCTTCCGTGGACTCAGGCTGGGCACTGGGGCCAGAGATAAAGTAGCCCCGGGCCTGCCTGAAAGGAAGGAAGCAGGCAGAGGACACACTGAGGGTGATCTCATGAGATATCCAGGACCTTGACTAGGGGAACCAGAGAGCTGGGTGTGGGGATGGTGGAGGGGGGCGGTGGTCTGCAAAAGTTTCTTTCCTGGGCTGATAATGGCTCCCAAGCTATCCATATGGGAATCCTTAAACCCTGTGGGCCTCATGTAGCACTAAAAGTTTTCAGATGGACAGGGAGAGCATCCTGGATGCGTCCTAACGGTAATAGCAAGCAAGTGAGACGCAGGGCTGGGCATGTGGCTCAGTGGCAGAGTGCCTGCCAAGTATGTACAAGGCTCTGGGGTCCTCCCTCACCGCTGGCCACAATGAATGGATGGATGGATGGATGGATGGATGGATGAAGCCAAATGTGGCAGCACACGCTGGTGTCCCTAACACTCTGGAGGCAGAGGCATGGTCTAGGTTATTCTGATCTACAGAAGACTTTGGCTTAAAAAACCAGGGAGGGAGCGGCCAATGAGCCATTCACCAGGTAAAGGCACTCGCTGCCCACCTCCGATTTCGAGAGCTCATCCCTGCCACACACGAAAAGACAGATGGCATAAAACAACCACACACACTGTCCCTCTGACCGCCACTCACCAGCCACGGCATGTGTATAGACAGACACAAACCTCATGGGCACACAGAGATAAACAACATAAAACTTAAATAAAAGCAGGAGGATAGGGAGGCCCGGGGGGAGGTTTGAGGGCAGAAGAGGAAAATGAAAACAGAGAGGAGCAGAAACTGGGGTGACTCAGTCACAAGGAATGCCAGCAGCTGGAGGAGGCAAGGCCCAGACTCTCCCCTGGAGCCCCCCCCCAGAAGGCTCTAGGCTGGGTGTTCGTCCCATACGACTCACCTCTGACATCCGAGGACAGTGGAAAAAATCCACAGTTTTAAGCCACTGACTTTCTGGCATTTTGGGTTCAGCGAAGATGAGGAAGAACATTTCTGAGGCCCAGGGGACAGGGTGAGTGAGTGATGGAGCCTAAGTGTTCCCTACTGCTCCAGAAGGGCGACATTACAGCTCCAACTGCCCCCCAACGTACCATGAAGTTCCCTGTTACCGTTACTAGTGAGAAGTCATGGAGTCCCTACCTCAGGCTGACTGGCAGGTCACCCAGCAGGGGTCAGAGGGTACCAGAGCAGACATGAACAGACTCTCCCACACCTGTGTACGCCTGACCACACCTGTGTACCCCTGACCACACCTGTGTACGCCTGGCCGAGATGGATACCCTAGTACCCATGAATAAGCCTGGTCTCTTCTGGCCACTGGCACCTTCTGTGCCTGACCACACGCTCCACAGAGACACAAGACCACAGAGTCTGTGGTGACCCTAGTCTCTCAACCAGCTCTGGGAAGTCTGGGGTCTCAAGCAATGACAACAGGACATGATAACTCAACCCTTACTGGGCAGCAAACATTCTACAAACTCACACCTGAGCTCAAATATGGACTTCGTGAAGTTCAGGTTGGTACCCCAAAGGCGTGCGGCCCGTTTTGCCTTTAGTGAGCAAGGAAAGACGGGGTCTAAGGCTGAAAGGAAGCTAGCAGTTCCGCCAGCTCTGAGGTAACCCCAGGGTGGCACCACAGCCCAGAGACCACGCTACAGAGGTGGGGGCCTTGAAGGCCAAGCCTGGGGACCTTAGGGAACTGTAAGAAAGCAAGAAACGACAGGGCAGAGAGGCTGTCTGGAGGACCTGGGTAGTTGGAAGGGGCCCCACAGGCACTGAGAGATAAGGCAGAGGAAGGCTCAATGGACAGGACTAGCTACAGATAGCCTGCTGGTGGCCGCCCAACCTACAGGGCTACTGGGGAAGGAGTGACAGGCCCGCTGTCTGTAACTGGGGACAGCTCCACGGTTCATACCCAGGAGTCTTTGGAAGACATATGTAGGGTGCCCCTCAGCTGCTCTACCCCTGCTTCTCCCTGGGGATAAGGGAGATGTGGAGAGGCCAGAGGACTCGGCCAGTCTGATAGAGAACAGTAAGCAGGGGCCTTACGGTGATCAGCAGGTCCTCTCACTCGCTAAAGTCAAGAGTGGAAAAAAACCACTGCTGTCCACCTCTTTGTTTCCTCACCGACAATGGCTGCCAACTGGCTACCGAACACCTTATAGTAAAGTACAGAGTGACCAGAGCTAACGTCAGCAGCAGCATCCCTAAGTCTCTGTGACAAGGCAGCATTTAGCCTCACGAGGGGAAACTGAGCCACAGGCAAAGACAGCTCTCTGCTTTAAGGGCATAGGCAAGCAGGAAGACAAGGATCCAGTCTCGAGGACGAAGAAGACAGGTCCTTCAGGCAAGAGGGTGGTGGAGGGTAGTCCGCTAGCACTGTGGGGCGCCAAGAAAGACCTCCTTTTGCTGGATGGGATCTCGGTGTCATCCCAAGAGCTATCGGGGAAAGCGGGGTAGGTGAACACGGCAGAGGCCTCCGAAACACACACAGGTGTGCCACCGAAAGCCACAGGTTTCCCGCCAGCAGCGTCCAAGCCCCACCTCATTGGGCCACATCCCGGAGGCAGCCACCTGCTTCTACACAGCAGCGAGGTCTGTAAGGGTCCCCCTGGACCTCCCACTCCTCTCCTGTCACACCCGGGTGAGGTGCTGAGGAGAAGAGAGAGGAAGTGGGGCCCCTCCCTGCTGGAACCTCCCCAGTAGCCTCTCCCCCAGAGTAGCAGAGCAGGCCCTTGTCAGACACACCCCCCTTCCAGACCGGCATGCAGCCTCTCATCTTTGTGTGCTTTGCTTGTGGTCTGTTTCACGGTTTTGACTATAAGACTTTCTTCACCTTGCTGAACTTTCCCCAGTCCCTGTGTAGATGAACCTATTGGTTCCCAGGCCAGGATGGCCCCACCTGGTATTGACTCTGCCTTATCCTCAGGACTCGAGTTAGGGGCTTATCTGCTGGCCTACCAGCCTCTCAAAGGGAAGAGAAGCCTCTCAGGGCGGACTCCACCCAGGCTTCAGCTCTGACCCAGCCTGTGGCAGCGGCAGCAACCATTGGGCCTACCATACCCCACGCCTGGTCTTCTTCAACTCCACCCTGGACACTAAGCCTGTAGCGAGAACCAGAAGGAATCATGGGAGGTCTTAGTCTCCCCTCCCTTGCCAAGGCACAGCTTCCCAGGAAGGTCTCCCCGGCTCCCTGAACACTTAGCTGCCCTCAGCACTGGCTGATTGCTCCACCCTCTGGCACAGAGAGAAGATCATAGCTTGTGCCTTAGGGACCTGGGTGCCAGTTCTGGCTGGGTCACCTTAGCCTCTAAGGCTTAGAGGGGGACTGGCTTCCCTACTGCGGCTGGGACTCATCTGTGTGAAGTCTGGAGTTGAATCTTATCACAGGGCAGGCTAAGAGCAGAGCTGGACATGCAGCACCTGTTAACGATCTATACTGATATATACTCCACCTCTGAGCTCCCTAGGAAGAAGGCCTTTCCTACACCCCTAATCCTGAGGGGTGGGGGTGGGGAGCCAGTCTCCGCCAGACCTGTCCTGCTCCCAGTACCACACATCCAGCCCTAAAGTCAGGGAAAAGGACCCCATTCAACCTGCGGACCATGACCAAGAAGGGGCGCACGGGGTCTTTGGCCTCACGCCCTTCTCCAAGCTGTAGGATGGAGGCACTTAGAAAGGTTGGAAGGTGACTGGGGTGAGGGGGACAGAGGTGGGGACAGGAAAGGGGACTTGTAAGGAAGATTAGAAAGAGTTGAGCCCGATGCTAAGCACACACCAGCGCCTCTGCACTAGAAGCACAGCAACGGAATACCCAGGTGGAGGCAAGGGATGCCCCTCACCCAGGGCTGCTGTGGGTGGAGGTGGGGCTGAGTCCGGGCGGATCTTCGGGGTGTGTGTAGGGGTGCTCCGCCTCCTAGGCCTGCAGGCCAGCGCTCACCTCCCAGCCCTGAATCCGCGGGATGTGCAGCCCCTATTCCGATTCGTGCTAGCACGGGTCCTCCCTGCACCTGCACACAGACACACACACACCACACACATCCAAACGCACACTAACACACGCGCTCGCACACGCCTCCCTCCGCGCAGCGCCTCCTACCTGCCGCGTAGCCGCAGCTGGAGCCGGACTCCCGGGATGCAGGTCACAGCACGGGCACCGGAGCGGAGGCTGGACCAGCCCGCGCTGCAGCCTGGGACTAGGCGGGGAGTTGCTGTCCCGGAGGCGGGCGGGCTGGGGCTGGAGCTTGGGCGCTGGAGCTTGGACCCCAGGGCTTCGTTCCGTCCCGCCCAGCCTCTAAGCCTCCGCCCATTGGAGGCAGAGGCGTGGTCCCGGGGAGGGATGGGGGGGGGGGGGGGGAGCCAGGACGAGCAGCTGAATGCGCATGCGAACCGGTGAGGCTGCGTCTCCAGAGGTTAGGAAGTAAGAGGGTGGCCCTGGCCCCAGCACTCCCTCCTTCCCATGCCAGTGCTGTCCGCGGTAGGAGAGCATCACGGGGAGCTGGCTGCCCAGTGTGGCGTTGGCCCTGGCGGATCTGCATGCCCTACCAAGTGCTGGCAGAAGATGGTGACTGACTTGGGATATGCAATTCATACAGACTACATCAGGGCCTAGGCAGGACAGCTGGGAATGGGAGGACCCATGAGACGAACACCCCCTCCCTTTCCATCTGTATCTCCACACCCATTCCCAAGATTTTGACCGGAGAAGAGGAATATAGGTCCTGGTGGGGTGCCCAGAGGGTCCCAGTCAGTTAAGGAAAGCTGACCTCATCCTGTCCCCTGTGCTTATCTGCGCTGGATGTGACCAGATTTTGGGCTCTTTCTGCATGGCCTTCTGCATGGAACACACCGAGCCTGGGTTTCTTACTCTAAAATGGGATGTGTAATGTCCATTCACACCGCGCTGTCATGTTCATGGTCTCTGTCTTGTCTCCTTAGCTGTGTGGCCTTGGGCAAGAGAACCTGCATAGAACCAGCACCCACCGGGCAGCTGTGGAGGGAGTCCTTCTGGTGGTCCTTGGGTTACTGCCATCTTGCTCAGCCTCCTCATTTTGTAAAGCATACTCTGTAAGGTGTCTGATTAGCATCCCAGACCCCTTAGAGTGTGTCTTAGACGGGGAGGCCTGTCTCAGAGCCCACCTCTGGCAGCTTCCACTTTCCTGAGAGGTGAGACAAGAAACCTAGAGAGACAGTCCCTCCACAGCCTGACGGAGGGACCTGTGGCTCTGATCTCTGGGGAGCAGGAGATCAAGACATGCCAGGAAGAGCCCGGCCGCCCAACAAGGTTTCTGTGGGGTGGATGATGCCTCTTTGCCCATGCGTTGGCCCCAGAACCCCTGCCAATTGGTTTTTATAAGCTTAGTCATCTAATGGTGCCATTAAAGAGCCTGAAGGGTAGGTGTTTTCCCATTAAATTCTCACAGTTATTAGCCCCACTTAGCCAGTGACAGACTAAACCCCAGGGAGGTACCCCAGGTCACAAAATTAGTAAACAGCAGAATTGGGATCCAGACCTCCAGAGCCATGCTGATTCTTTCTATTCTTGTGCTGGATCTTTCCTCCTCCTCCTCCTCCTCCTCCTCCTCCTCCTCCTCCTCCTCCTCCTCTTTTCCTGGCTTTTTTGGAAAGGCATCTCTGTAGGCCCCTTGACCTGCTGGCTAACCTCTGCTTGAATCCCCTTGCTACTGGGGACTCATTCCTTCCTGGGATAGCCCTGTCCCTTCTGTTTGTCAAAATCTTTAGATCCCAGCCCATTTTACCTAGCTCTGCAGAGATCCACACCCTTCACCAAAGCCTTGGAACAGAATGGTCTCTGCAAGGGTCAGGAACCTCACCATTAGTGTTCCTCTGTGTAGTAGTGTTATAGTGTTTCCTAGGTGAAACTCATAATGATCCTTTTTTCTCCCTCTCTCCCTCCTTACCTTCCTCCCTCCCTTTCTCCTTTTCTCCCTCCCTTCCTTCCTAGTCAGTTTGGCTGGCCTTGAATTCCAGAGTCAAATGATTCTCCCGGCTCAGTCTACCGAGTCCTGGGACTGCAGGTGTTGTGTTTGAATGGGAAGTGTCCCCATAGGCTCATGTGTTTGAACACTTGGTGTCCAGCTCTTTGGGAAAGCTGTAGAAATTTCACAAGGTGAAACCTCATAGGAGAAAGTAAGTCCCTTGGAGAAGGCCTTGAGATGATACAGCCCAGCTCCACTTGCTGCTCACTCTGTGCTTCCTAACTCTGAACTCAGGGCAACTAGCTACCTGGTGTCCCTGCCACCATCCCTTCTCTCCTTGGTGAACTGTGTCCTTTCTCAAACCGTAAGTTAAAACAAGCCTTTTCTAAACAACAGCTTGCTGTAGCAACAATAAAAGTCACTAAAACAGAAAATTGATATCATGAGTAGGGTTTTTATTATAATAAACCTGATTCGGGGAGGGTCTTAGGTCATTGGAATTGGTTTGCAGGAGGAATGTGGAAGAACTTGGGACTACGCATTAGAGAATCTCCTAGAAAGTTGTAAACAGCGTTCAAACGGACATCCTGACGGAGTGTGGAGGACAAGAAGGCCAAGGCAAGGAAGTGTGTGTATATTTGTTTTTTTTTTTTGTTTTTTTTTTGTTTTTGTTTTTTTTTCGAGACAGGGTTTCTCTGTGGTTTTGGAGCCTGTCCTGGAACTAGATCTTGTAGACCAGGCTGGTCTCGAACTCACAGAGATCCGCCTGCCTCTGCCTCCCAAGTGCTGGGATTAAAGGCGTGAACCACCACCGCCCGGCCGTGTGTGTATATTTGAGGCCCAACTCATGAGGTTTCAGAGCAAAACAAAGACTCCATTGGGAACTGGGCTAGAAGTCATTTGTGTTACATTCCAACGAAGACTCTGGTGCATTCTCCCGTGTTCTAAAAGCCAAGTGAAGCCAAACTGAAAGAAGAATGGACTAATTGTTTGCTAGAAGAACTTCTAAGACGAGACACAAGTGGTCGGGCCCCATCATGGGGGCTGCTCACTGCCCTTATCCAGGTCTACAGCAAGAGGAGGAACAAGAGAGGCGGAAAGATATGAAAATGTGTAGTTTAGTGGGGGAAGGAGGGAGCTTACAGTTGTGGGCCAGACAGATGCAAGAGCAGCTGTTGAAGGGATTCCTCCATTAAAGAGAAAACCCAGTGCTGTGCCCTGGGGAGAGAGAGAGAGAGAGAGAGAGAGACAGAGAGAGAGAGAGACAGACAGAGAGACAGAGAGAGAGAGAGAGAGACAGAGAGACAGAGAGAGAGAGAGAGAGAGAGAGAGAGACAGAGAGACAGAGAGAGGGGGGGTACCCTGAGGGTAAGACCTCAGCCACTGGAAGCTTCATCTTAAGAAAATAAAATTTGTTTTAAAAGACGGAACCTGAACTGGGAATGCTGAAGAAGGGTGTGTTAGTTTGCTTCCTTGCTTGGAGTGGAAAGGGTTTATTTCATCTTATATTTCTAGGCCACATTCATCACTAATGGAAATCAGGGCAGGAACCTAGAGGCAGGGACTGCAGTTAAGACCATGGATGAAGGGGGCTGGAGAGATGGCTCAGTAGTTAAGAGCATTGCCTGCTCTTCCAAAGGTCCTGAGTTCAGTTCCCAGCAACCACATGGTGGCTCACAACCATCTGTAAAGAGGTCTGGCGCCCTCTTCTGGCCTTCAGGCATACAGACAGAATATTGTATACATAGTAAATAAATAAATTATAAAAAAAAAAGACCATGGATGAATATTGCTTACCGTGTTCCCTGTTTCCTGATCACTAACTTTCTATTTGTTTGTTTGTTTGTTTTTGTTATTGAGACAGGGTTTCTGCTGTCCTGGAGCCTGCTCTGTAAACCAGGCTGGCTTCAAACTCACAGAGAATCACCTGCCTCTGCCTCCCAAGTGCTGGGATTAAAGGTGTGGACAGCACCCATACCTAACCCTCAGCTGACTTTCTTACACAATGCGGGACCATGTGCCTAAGGACCACACGTAGTTGGGTAGGCTGATACCCAGAGATGAATCTGATGGAATCAATTCCTTAGTTGCTGCTTCCTCTTCCCAGGTATGTTAAGGTGATAAGATTAGCCATCAAGGGGCTCTCGACTAAAAAGAAATAGACAAAGCAACAAAAACTGAACCGTCTAAGAAAGTATTTTCTAAGATTCAGTCACCAAGACGTACAGAGGCTCCCACAGATTTGGTCTAAGGGGATAAAGCTACATTCTGGGCTGAAAGCAGAGCTTGGCGCAGTTGTCCACATGGTACCAGAGTTTCAGGCTTGACAACTGTAAGAAGAATGAGGAGGTCATGGAGGTTTGCACCAAGGCTCCAGAAGGTCACTGGGACCAGACAATGTGTCGCAGTTTCTCTGCTCGGAGGTCCTAAGAATGTCTGGAATGAGGCTGGGAATGTGATGTTTAAGCTGCAAGGAAGACCTAGAATAGTGGAGCTGCCAGGACCATGGGACATCTGCCAAGGAAAGCTGCAGGCCTAACATGAACAAGCCAACCCAAGAGAGAGGCTATGTGTGTTGTAGCAGAACTAGAGAGGCAGCCCACCCAAGCCCAGATGGCCCCATCACAAGCCCCAGAAACCAGACATGGAGCTGTGGGTTTTGGTATTTGCCCTGCTGGGTTTTGCTGGGTTTTGGTTCTGCTTTGTTCTGATTTTTTTTTTTTTTTGCTATCCTCCATTCCTCCCCTTTGGAATGGAAATTATACCCTGTGCCTTTGTATGTTAGAAACACATGACTTTTATTGTTGTTGTTGTTGTTGTACAGAGCCTACCAGTTAAATGACAACCTCAAACCTCAGAAGAGATCGTAGACTGTTGGACACTGTTGGGTCTGTTGAAGACTATGAGGACTTTTGAAACTGGAATAAACACATTTTTGGCAGAAGTTGTAGTTGGGCTGGGTGAGATGGTGCACCTCTGTGATTTCAGCCCTTAGGAGATCAGGCAGGAAGATCGGAAGATCAGTCAGGGATTGGAGAGATGGCGCTGTCAGTAATGTGTTTGCTGTGCAGAATGAGAACCTCGGTTCTGATTCCCAGCAAGAAAGAAAACAAGCCGTGTGTGATGGCTTGAGCCTGGAGTCCCATCCCTGGGGGAGTTCATTGGCCAGCACAGCTGAGGAGGTGAGCGCCAGGTTCCGTGAGAAACCCTGCTCAGAAAGTAAAGCGGAGAGCGGTTGATGAGAACCCCGGCTCTGACCTCTTCCCTCCACGTGCACATTCACACACGGAGTTCCCAGTCAGCCACACTGGAGCACACAGGGAGACTCTGTTTCAGAAACAATTGGCTTCTATTTGGGAATCGCTGCTAATGGCACTCCACAGAAGAGGAAAACTCAGCTTGCACTCCATGGAGTCAGATGCCGTGCAAAAGCCAGTGCAGAAGACAAAATGGCCTTTGGGTTGCCCTTAATTCTTTCCTTTTCTGAAATACTGTTTATATTGTGTATGAATATCATCTGGATATTGGAAGCTAGCTGAGACCAGAGATGGGGCTCAGTGGTACAGAACTTGCTTGGCATGCGCAGGCCTTGGCTTCTAGTCCTAGGAAAAAAAAGGCTAAAAATAAGATGTCTAAGATGGATGTCTTAGTTACGTTTCTACCGCCGTGAAGAGACTCTATGACCAAGGCAACTTAGAGAGTTTATTGGAGGCTTACAGTTTCAGAGGGTTAGGGCCCCTGACCATCATGGTGGGGAGTGTGGGAGGGAGCAGTAGCTGAGAATTTATGTGCTTATGCACAAGTAGGAGGGAGGGAGGGAGGGAGAGAGAGAGAGAGAGAGAGAGAGAGAGAGAGAGAGAGAGACTGCGTGTACTGAGAAGACTTTGGAAACTTCACCCCCCAGTGACCCGCCTACCGCAACAAAGCCACGCCTCCTGCAGCAAAGCCACGCTCCCTAATCCTTCCAAACAGCTCTGGCGCCGAGGACCAGATATTCAAATCCGTGAATCTATGAGGTCTGTTCTCATTGCAAACATCACAGTGATATGGTGCTGCTTTCCCTATCATCCCAGCTGAGGCAGGAGAATCACATCAAGTTTAAGTCCAGCCTGAGCTATGCTGTGAAACTCTGGCTCAAAAAAGTCAATAAATAAAAAGCCCTACCTTTTATGCCTAAAAACAACGTGGCTTGCCTGTGCTGAGGAAGTCAGGACAGACAGCTGCAAACAAAGATTGATTGATTCCCTTCCAGCAGGTGGGGAAGTATGGGGAGACCCGAAGAACTGAGTGGGGGAGCAGGGAAGAGGAAGAAGTGACATTTCTCTAACTAAATCTTGAAAATATTTAATTATTGAGATATAATTTTGCTATCATCAAAATCACCCTTTAGAAATGGGTGGGGGGGCTGTGGCTGAGTGGTAGAGAACACTAGCTTTGCGTGCACACAGCCCAACACTAAATAGTTATAAATAGTTATTCTGTTTTGCTGGGGCTTTTTTTTTTTTTTTTTTTTTTTTTTTTTTTTTTTTGAGACAAGGTTTTTCTGTGTAGCCCAGGCCGTCCTAGAACTTGTTTTTGTTGACCAGGCTGCCCTTAAACTCAGGGATCCACCTGCCTCTGTCTCCCAAGCTCTGGGATTAAAGGTGTGCGCCACCAACACCCAGCAATAATTCTTTAAAGTATAAAACTCAGTGGTTTAATATCCTTAAATTGACAGCCGTCACTGTTAGTGAACCTCAGGACATGTTCATCAGCCCAAGAGAACCTTAGTGCTCACCCTCAGCCATGTCCCATCCCTCCTGGAGTTGCCCTGAGCAACAGCTAATCCACTCTGTCTTTTTGGGCTTAATGGATGTTTCCTATAATGGAATCATGCGTGTGGCCTTTTGTTTCTGCAGTCTTTCACCAAGCATACTGTTGTGGTGTTGCAGCGTGAATCAGGGCTTTCTTCCTGTTTACGGCTGGATAATAGTTCATGTACAGATATGCAGATTTTATTTATCCTTTCATCCGTCAGTGGGCATCTGGGCCCTCACTCATTCTTTTTGGCTGCTGCGAGGAATGATGTCATGAGAGTTTTCAGCTCTCACAGGAACGTCTAGGTAGGATTGTGATTCTGGAGTAACTCCGGGGGTTTGCCTGTCCGTGTTTGTTTGGTGTTTGAAGTGGGACTTGGGATCTCTAGCCTGGCCAGCACATGCTCTCACACGGACTGCACACGCTCTCACACGGACTGCACACGCTCTCACACGGGCCGCACACGCTCTCACACGGACCGCACGCGCTCTCACACGGACCGCACACGCTCTCACACGGACCGCACACGCTCTCACAGGGACCGCACGCACTCTCACAGGGACCGCACGCGCTCTCACACGGACCGCACGCGCTCTCACACGGACTGCACGCGCTCTCACACGGACTGCACGCGCTCTCACACGGACTGCAATGCTCTCACACGGACTGCACACTCTCTCACATGGACTGCACACGCTCTCACATGGACTGCACACACTCTCACACGAACTGCACGCGCTCTCACACGGACTGCACGCTCTCTCACACGGACTGCAATGCTCTCACACGGACTGCACACTCTCTCACATGGACTGCACACGCTCTCACATGGACTGCACACACTCTCACACGGACTTCACACGCTCTCACACGGACTGCACACGCTCTCACACGGACTGCACACGCTCTCACACGGACTGCACACGCTCTCACACGGACTGCACATGCTCTCACATGGACTGCAGCCCCACGGTCACGTGTTTGGCTTTCATTTTTATTCATCTGTTTTTATTATTATGTGCATGGATGTTTTGCCCACACGTGTATGTCTGCAAACAGGCATGCCTTGTGCCTTTGGAGGCCAGGAGAGGGCGTTGGAGCCCCTGGAACTGGGGTTACAGATGACTCTGAGTCACCAAGTGGGTGCTGATAATGGAACCCAAGTCTCTGGAAGAGCAGACAGTGCTCTTGACGGCTGAGTCAGGGTTTCACGTTAGTCTAGCCTTAAATTTTCGAGTAGCTGAGGGTGACCTTGAACTTCTGATCCCTAGGATTTCAGGCTCGCCCTGCCACACCTGCTAGGATTTTAGTTGTTGTTTTAAGGGTAGGTGTGGCACAGCCTGACGACCTTGAACTCTGTTTCCTGCCTCATCCTCGCTAGTGGGCCCAGCAGGTGTGGGCCCAGCAGGTGTGTACCAGGTCAGTACCACCACACCCTGGCAACAACGCTAACTTCTGAAGGGCTGCCGTACTGCTTTTCAAAGCACTGGACAGCTACACTAGGGTGGGGACACCCATCCGTGCCCCTGTCTTTGGCAGGTAGAAGTGTCCACAGTTCTCTCTCCAGCATGGGCTCTGACTCTGCTCTGTGTGAGTGGCTCAGTAAGGAGGAAGTAAGTGGCTGCGTGGGGTGTCGAGGGGATCTGAGCCCCACAGAAGCTTCACTGTCCAACACAGGTGTTCGACATTCTCTAAGCTCTAACTCATAGGCCCTGCCTGCTGGATCCCACATCCTTAGTCATAACCCCCAAAGCCTAGCCAACCAGCCTTTGTCTCTGGCCTGTCAACACCTGCTCACTGTACCCCCCACTCCACCCTGCCCCGCCCCCACCTCCTAGGATTCAACCTCACCTACTTGAAACCCAAGGACCCTTCCGCCCCATTCATCCTGACCAGACCCCAGGTCCCTTCCAATTCTGTCATGTTCTTCTTCCCTCAGGTGGGGCTCCCTGGTCACCTCTCCCCACTACTGTCCCCTGTCCTTCCGTCTACTGCTCAGTCTGCTCAGCCCCCTGCCCCAGCAGCCAAGGCCCACACAGGCCATGCATGAATCTCAACTCAGTCTTTACCCTGTGTCGAACTGTTGAGGAGGAGAATAAAGAACAAGGGAGGCATTTTAAAAGTGTGTCTGTGTTCTTCTCAGCGGTGGGGTTAATCAGCCCTCGTGCTGAGGGAGCACTGATGGAGGTTCTCAGGCAGGTGCAGGCTGGGGGTGGGGGTGGGGAGGAGCTTCCGGCGCCAACCAGGATTAGTCTGAAGTGACTGTCCCCGGGTGGAGAGGACCTTTCTTTCAGAAGACATTGTTAGGATGTTGATTTAATGCTGAGAGGTTGGCAGTTCTCCCAGCACTATAACACAAAGGCAGGGCCAGGCCAGTAGCCGTTCAGACCCTATGAAGACAACAGATAACCAAACTACTGTCTGCTTCCTCTCTGAAGCTCCCGGCTGGACTCTGCCCTCGGCAGCAGCTCTCAGCTCAGGGGGTGACTGGCAGACAGCAAGTGTGGGAGCTGGGGGGTTGGTTAGAGCCCAGGAACAGGCAGGAAGCGGGTACTTAGTCCCTAGTGCCCTGTAGACCCTTGTGATCTTGAAGTTTCCTCCCTACCTGGGCGTCGGTCCTCACCTCAGCCGCTCCCGAACTGGAAGCAGAGATGCACCGTGTGGCAGGCGCGCCCCCTGGCGGCCCACTGACCTGGAGGACGCACGCGGCTCGCCTGATCCTCCAGGTGACTTGGGTGGTGCCCTGGGCGAGCACAAGCCTTTCCTGTTCTTGGATAGCAGAGCAAGCAAACCTCAGCAATGTGTAGTCAGGCCCCAGGGTCACACAGTGGATCCAAATCTGCAGCTTCCCCACCTTTCTAAGCTAAGAAATGCCAGAATCTTAAAAAAAAAAACTTTTTTTAAATTTTAAGTAATTTTATGTGCATTTGTTTTAATAATTTATTTTACGTGCATTGGTGTTTTGCCTACATGTATGTCTGTGTGAGAGTATCAGATCTTGGAGTTACAGATAGTTGTTAGCTGCCACGTGGATGCTGAGAATCAAACTCTCAGTGGTTTTCGAGATAGTTTTCTCTGTAGGTTTTTTTTTTTTTTTTTTTTTTTTTCTGCCTGTCCTGGAACTAGCTCTTGTAGACCAGTCTGGCCTCGAATTCACAGCGATCCACCTGCCTCTGCCTCTGCCTCTGCCTCCCAAGTGCTGGAATTAAAGGTGTGAGCCACCACCGCCCAGCGAACTCAGTGCTCTTAACAGCTGAGCTATTTCTCTAGTCCTATAATGCCAGAATCTTAATATCCTCACCCAAAAAATGGAGACAACTTTCTTCCCGGGAACTGAGAACACGGCTCCAGAGCAGGAACTTTGGGATTGGCGATGCCCCGTTGTCCACCGTGAGAGTGGGCATTGGGACCGTTTGTTGAGAAGAAGCACATCTGTCCCGTGTTCATTTCCTTCGTTTATTATTAAATAGCATCGTGGTAGACAGAGCCTCCAAGGATGTCCACACCCTAATCCCTGGAATCTGTGACTAAAATAGGTTATGTGTGAACAAGATGAACTATGGAATTGCTGGTGAGCTGGCTTTAAAACATGAAGATATTACCTGGGTGTGGAGACAAACCTGTAATCCACCCTGAATTAAAGCTCATGCTTGACCTACCTCATGGCAAGTTTCGGGGCAGCCTGGGCTACATGGGAGTTTGTCTTAAGCAAATAGACACAAGCTAAGCCTGGGTTAGCCCGGTGAACCCGGGTTTTAGCTCCAGGGAAGGAGAGCAGATAAAGACTAGTCAGAGAGAAGTTTGGCTGTAGAGAAATGTAACATGGTTGGTTTTGAAGATGAAGGAGGGAGGGCCTCTTCTAGAAGCGAGGGAATATAGTGGGGTGTGTGGATACCCAGGAAGGAAGGAGGTTTTACCAACACCTTGACTTTAACCTAATGAGAAGGGCCTGTGTTGTCGGAGAACTACAGGATAAGTGGGCTTGTTCCTAGGCTTCGAGCCTTGGTGAGAATTTGTTAGAGCAGCAACAGAAAACCAAGACAGGGTTCTCACAGATAACGCTCCACGCCATTGGGACAGATAGCATTTCCAAAAGCGTTGGAGAAGCAAATCGGACGCTACTAGTTCACAGTCAGGGCTGCAGAAGGGAGGCTGCGACGCTGACTCCTCCAAGATTCCTGGAGCGTCGCGGAAGCAAGGCTGCCAGACACGGCTTCGTTCCGAGTGTAAACTGCCTTCTGGGAGCTCCCCTCAGCTAACATTGATCTTGGCAGTCATGCCTCTCTTGCTACCCACAATGAATGGTTACAGGTTCCCGGGAAGGCTGGTATGTGAGGATAAACAGGTATTCCCAGCCCAGTTTAAAATAAGAAAAACACACCTACGCGTCTGAAGACCAATAGGGTCAGAATCCCTGACGTGGAGGCCAGGAACACAGGCTAGGATATAGTGATTTCCAGATCTACCCTCAGGGTGATATCAGTGTGCATCGGGGTTCAGATCGGAAGACGCACTCTCAGCTCCCCAGCTTTCTGTTCTCAGGAGGCCCTGCCTGGTGCCTGCGGCTGCAGTGCAACTGCGGGTTGTGCAGCGCCTTCCACATGAGTAACATCTCATAGGGCGCAAAGCGGTGCACCAGCAACAGCTCGCGGTACACGCAGGGGTCGAAGGATGAGCGCTCCGAGCCCGGCATCCGCACGCCGAAGGGCCGGATGCCCTCATGGGGGCTGGGCGCCAGGCCGGCCTGCTTCAGACACATGCCCATGTAAGCGTCGTCGATGGGAAAAAGCGGGACCTGGCGCGCCGCGCTGAGCAGGTCGCGGGCTGTGCGGCTGGACAGGAGGAAGCCGCCGCCGCTGCAGTATACTGGGTAGGCCTTGCCCGGGAAGAGCTGCGGGGGCACGAAGTACTTGCTCCAGCTTTCGCGGATGGGCACAGAACCGTCCATGAGCTGCCCGGTAAAGAGGTGGCTCTCGGGCGACTGCACCTCCAGGAAATGCACCACGTTGGCCGTGTGCACGAAGACGTCGTCGTCGCAGCTGAGCAGGAAGCTCGCACCCGGGCAGCGCTCGGCTGTCCACTCCAGCAGGTGCACGTGCTTGAGCGAGAGGTTGAGGAAGGTGTCCGCGAAGTCCCACTGCAGCACGTCGCCATGCTCGCTCGCCTCCAGGTCCAGCAGGCTGGCCAGCTGAGGCTCGCGCGCCGCCTCGTCGGGAGGGGAGGTCCCCAGCAGGAAGAGGCGACGCACCTGCCGCCCGCCGTAGCTGCGCTCCTGGCCCCACGTGCGCCGGATCAGTTCCCGCCGCTCGTAATGCGCGGGCGAAGACTTCACGGCCAGCAGCAGGAAGACGCCGCGATGGCCCGCGCACTTGTGGGGCGTGTCCCACAGCTGCGGGAAGCGGCGGCAGTGGCGGTAGCGTAGGAAGTCTTGGATCCGGGCAGGCAGCTCCTGGAAGCCTTCCGTGAGGTTCACAGAGGCGTTGGCCACGCAAGGGGGCGCCTGGAGGTGTGGCGACAGCTGCACCGCAGCCTCGGAAGACCAGGGAGCAGCGGTGGGGACTTCAGTGTACTTCTGCGTGGGCTCCTGGAGAAACCACTGGTGCAGCACCACGAAAGTCATACCCACTAGAAGGAAAGCCAGTGTCTTGGGGTTCTTGGACCTGCGGCCGGGCAAAGCCATCTAGGGAAGGGGGAAGAGCAAGTCACAGATGAGCCAGGAATTTTTGGTACCAGTGGGATGCCTCTCTATCCACATCGGATCTCTCCCAGAATCCGGCTCAGCCCTTTCTCAACTCTGCTAAGAGGTTAAAGGAAGCCGGGGCTGTCATGGTGCGTGCCTTTAGTCTCCCAGCATAGAGAAGGAGGAACAGGAGGATCCAGAGATGAGGTCATCCTCAGCTACAGAATGAGTTAAGTCCAAACTGGGCTCTGTGAGACCTTGTTTCAAAAATCAAAACAACCAACTAACCAATCCAAACAAACAAACAAACACCAAAAGGGCCCCATGCAGTTGGTAGAACGAACGTTGTCTAGCATGAAGGAGGTCCTGGTTTGGGTAGCCAACTCTACATAAACCGGGTATGGTGGCTCACACCTGTAATTCTGGCATTCAGAGAGGCTGAGGCAGGAGAATCACTGAATTGAGACCAGACAAGGCACACAGGTGGGGTGAGGCCCAAATCCCTGCACTGTAGGTCTCCTGTAGTCGAGAGTGAACTCATCTTCACAGCTGTGTTTATCATGGTCGATGCACACTCCTGGATGCCACCCAGGATGGCAGACACATGTTCAAAGTCAGCCTCCATCTTGCTCTGAGTCGCCATCCAGCCCTTTCTCTGCCAGTGGTACCCCATCCATGCATTTGCTCAACCAGAGGCTCCACATCTCTCCCCTGCCCTCCTCAGGGTGTGTCTCCTCCCCGCACTCCTCTGATTCTGCATTCTGCATTTCTCTCGGGTTGATCCCTTCCTCTCCATCTCTGCCCAGCTGGATCCCATGCTGGCTAGAACAACACAGTGGAGTAAATACCACTTGCTTGGGCTTACATTCAGCTTCTGTTAAGTAAGCTCAGGGCAGCTGATCAAGGGGGCACGAGGCCAGGGCACAGATGTTTGTTGGTCACTGCTAGGAAGTGCACCTCAAGCAAGACAGTCAGATCTCTGGCTCTAGAGAGAACTCTGTAACATCGGATTATATTACATTCTCCACGAGCGTGGTGAGAATTAAGGATCCTGTGGCCACTGAATGCTATCCGATTAGGACTTTGGCGTCCTTCATGTTTCTATGTCTGCCTGTTGGTATTTGTTATCAAGATCAGGCCCTTTCTTGCATGGAGCCTGCTCATGTATATGTCCTCCAGCACTGCAAGGAAAATTCCACATCTTTAACCTCCCTGCTTAACTGTGCACGCTGGCACCGGCACACAACACTGTCATTGTGTGTGTGTGTGTGTGTGTGTGTGTGTGTGTGTATTTCTTTGTATACAAGGATCTTTTTTGTTTGTTTGTTTTTTGTTTTTCGAGACAGGGTTTCTCTGTGGCTTTGGAGCCTGTCCTGGAACTAGCTCTGTAGACCAGGCAGGTCTCGAACTCACAGAGATCCGCCTGCCTCTGCCTCCCGAGTGCTGGGATTAAAGGCGTGCGCCACCATCGTCCGGCTTTGTATACAAGGATCTTATATAGACCGTGGTAGCTTCAAACTCCATATGCAGTCAAGGATGACGACCTTTAACTTCTGATTCTCTTCTGTTCTGGCTAGTTTTATGTCAACTTGACACAAGCTAGAGTCATCTGAGAAGAGGGAGCCTCGACTGAGAAAAGGCCTCCATAGGATCAGCTGCAAGACATTTTCTTAGTGATCAATGGGGGAGGGCCCAGCCCGTTGATGGTGGGGCCATCCCTGGGCTGGTGGTCCTGAGTTCTATAAGAAAGCAGACTGAGCAAGCCACGAGGAACAAGCCAGTATAAGCAGCACCCTTCATGGCTTCTGCATCAGCTCCTGCCTCCAGGATCTTGCCCTTTAAGTTCCTGCCTTGGCCGTCCTCAGAAAGCCATGAAGGATATGGAAATCAAACAAACCCTTTCCTCCCCAAGTTGCTTTGGTTATGGTGTTTAATCAAAGCAATAATAACGCCAGCTAAGACATCTTCTTTCACTTTTTACAGGAATGGCCAGCTGCCCTTCCCTGTTTGAGGTACCCGGAGTAAACTTTAAACAGCGAGCGTACACACATCATTCCGCTCGCTCTCTCTCACCAGCCACCTGGCCTGGCCATCTGCTATGCCTCTTTCTGCCCTGAAATTTTGTCCTGTGCCAATTGCTAACTGCACAAATCTCGCCTACCTTAGTCATCCATCATCGTGTGGTACATTTGAAGCTGTAGAACCGTTGAGAAGGCCTCAGTGGAGGCCAAAGGAGAGCAGGCACACTGCCGGTCATGCCCCTATACCTCCCTACTGCTAGCCCATCAGCACCTCTGGGGCAGGGATGGAATCTTTGTTCCTCACCATTGTAGGATGAGGGAATGGCGTGCTGTGGCTAATGCTGCTTACCAGGGTTCAAATCCTGTTTCTGCTACTTTCTGGTTGCATGGTTAAGCAAGCAGACATGGGTTTGTCTCACACCTAGCCCTCAAACGTTCGTTTGTTAATTTTTGTTTGAGACATGGTCTCACTCCGTAGTCTATGCTAGTTTCAAACTCTGGATCTTCTTGCCTCAGCCTTCTAAGTTTTGAAATTATGGGTATACGCTACCACACCTTGTTTTTTCTTTTCTTTTTTGGGGTGTCCGGTGTTGGGGAGTCAACGTGAAGGCCTTGTGAGCAAGTGTAATGCCACCGAGTTACGGACCTGGCCCTCTCAGTGACAAGGAAGGAGCTATGTGTATAAAGAATTCAGTACAGAAGCCAGGGAAGGGAGTTCACACCTATCAGACCAGACTCGGGGAGCTAACAGGGTGATCACGAGATCAGAGGCAGCCTGGGCTATAGAGAGAGGCTCCCTGGAATCCGCATGATGGAAAGAGAGAAATGACTCCCAGAGACTGCCCACTGACCTCAACACCCCTGCATGTACATCACAAATAACCTTACACAATAATGATGGGAATAAATGGCTTTTGAAAGCCAAAGGGAAAGCAATAACTTGTTCAGTACTTATATTTGCAAATGGTAAGTGTTCGGTAAATGTTAGCTGGTATGATTGCCAAGTGCAAAAGGCTGCTTTAGAATACACGTTCACCGCGTGTTCTCAGGCAGTAGCTTGCGATGCGAGGTGTTTGCTGTGGAACAATCTTTTTGTACACTGTGAAGATGTGTCGCTCGGATTGGCTTCATAAAAACCTGAATGGCCGATAGCTAGCTAGGCAGGATTTTCCGGGCCCAGAGGATTCTAGGAAGAAGGACAGAGCCGCTAGCCAGATGGAGAGGAAACACGGCGTGTAGGAGATGCGGTAACAAGCCATGAGCCGTGTGGAAGCGCGTCCATTAGTATAAATGGGTTCACGTAAGCTGTAAGAACTAGTTAGAGACACGCCCAAGCTATCAGCTGAGCATCATGATTGATAATAAGTCTCCGCGTGGTGATTTGGGAGAAAGACTCGTGACAGGTGTCACTGGAATGGCCCTGCTCCAGCACTTAGGTATCACAGACCATCCAGTGTCTAGCTCAGAGAGAACACAGAGCAGGTGCTCAGGGCAGAGGGGGAGCTGTCAGCTAGGTGCAAGCGCAGAACAGTGCACACACAAGCAGCACTGCTGGGCATGGTTAGGAAGGCCAGCTGTAGATTTCCGCTGTTTTGCTCATGGCCCTACCTCGGTGCGGGCACACCTGAGAAGGGATGGCGACAAGCTGTGCCCATGTGACTGTCAGTGCATACTCTATGTCTGGAGAATTTGAGTCAGTGATTTTCTCTTTCTCCCTTTCTCTCCCCACCCTTCTTCCTCCCCGCCCTCCTTTTTTTCTGACAAGATCTTATATGTTCCAGTCCCGCCTTCAAACCCATTATGTGTCCAAGGATAATCTTGAACTTCTGGTCCCTCTTGCCTCTTATCTCACCTTCAAAGGCTGGAATTACAGGCATGTGCCACAATGCCCAGAGAATGTGGTACTGGGAATGGAGCCCACAGCTTCATACAGGCTGGGCAAGTGCTCTACCAACTGAACTACACCTGTGCCCTACCAACTGACTGTAAGGACTTTTTCCATGAACAAAGGAATGAGATATGAATGAACACAGGCCAGGCTTTGGAGTCTAAATAACTGGGCGTGAGTCTCAGCCCTTTCTCTGGGTTAGTTAACCTTCAAGGTTTGAGTTTCCTCCCTGAAAAATTAATCATATCTCTCAGTGAAATAAAATAATCATATACATGCTAAAATGCCTTACAAATGCTAAACTAATGGGTAGTGGTAGTGCACGCCTTTAATCCCAACACTCGGGAGGCAGAGGCAGGTGGATCTCTGTGAGACTGGGAATTTAAGGCATGCACTGGCAGGCTCAGGCTGGTATTTTTGAGAGAAGGTTTTACATGGCTTAGGCTAGCTTTGAAGTTCTGATCTCCCTGTCTTCATCTCCCTGGTACTGGGGTTATAGGCATTTGCTACCATTCTCTCCTTAAAACATAATTTAAAAACATTTCATGCCTATAACCCAGCATTCAGAAGACTGAGACAGTCTGGGCTATACATAGCAAGACTGGTTCTTGGGTGGGTTTTTTTTTTTTTCATGTTTTCACCTCTTTGTGTTGAGTCATTTCTAGAAAGAAAAAAATTCTCAGTCTTAATGCATCAGTGAATCTGGTTACAAAAAAAGAGTGTAATTTCCTCTGTTAAGTCCAAAGAACTTGGAGTGTAGCCAGCATTCACGGTAAAGAGGGACAACGGTGTGCCTGGAAGGGCAGGCCCTTTCTGAGGGCGGAGCTGGCTCTCTGTGCTGGGGTATACAATCTCTGACTTGGCTCTGACTTGACTCCTTTTTCCTGGACCTCCCTTTCTCAAGCTGCTCCTCCAGTGCTGGGAACCTCTCCACCTAAAACTCAACTGGTCCCCACCTACCCTGCTCCCTGCCTCAGTTTGGACTCAGCTTCAGTACCTGCTCCTCGAGGTCACTTTCTGGTAAGCCCAGGTCAACAGATCTGTCTCCTTGGTGCTGTGGCTACTGAGCTTGCCTGAAAGGACGGTCTCTCTCTTGAGCCGTATCTGTGGGATTGGGCAGGTTGTCTCGGTAGCCCATGCTGTGGGTTGATGCCATGGTAACCTTAGCGTCACTAGGGGCACCCTCATGGAGCCAGGCTAGCCACCCTGGCATTTTGTGGTCCTCTGGCCACAGCTCACTGCTTTCTGTTCTACACTTGTAATAAGGTCCTCTCTGCTAGGAATCCACCCTTTTCTTTCCCAAGAACGAGTTAGGCTATTTCCTGCCCAGATGTCAGGGTCACCATCCAGTCCCCCAGAGGCACTCTGGGAGGGGGTATCTGAACAGAAGACATGACAAGCAAAGGGACTTCTGCTATCTCTGGCCCTCCCCAGCACCCATGAAGACCTAAACCCTTGGGACTGCATGGGCTGTACAGTTTTCTTATCTAAGAAGGAAGAGATGAGGGTGCAGTTAATTCCCAAAAATAATGACTCCAAGGTTGGGCAAGATGGGTCAGGAGATGGCCCTGCTGCCAAGCTTGACAACCAAAGTTTGATCCATACATGGTAGGAGAGAACAAACTCTTCAAGTTGTCCTCTGATTCCATGTGAATGTTTTCTCTCGCTCTCTCCCCCCTCGCTCTCCACCTCTCTCTCCACCTCTTCTACCTCTCTCTCTCCCTCTTCTACCTCTCTCTCTCTCCCTCTTCTACCTCTCTCTCTCCCTCTTCTACCTCTCTCTCTCCCTCTTCTACTTCTCTCTCTCTCCCTCTTCTACCTCTCTCTCTCCCTCTTCTACTTCTCTCTCTCTCCCTCTTCTACCTCTCTCTCTCTCCCTCTTCTACCTCTCTCTCTCCCTCTTCTACCTCTCTCTCCCTCTTCTACCTCTCTCTCTCCCTCTTCTACCTCTCTCCCTCTTCTACTTCTCTCTCTCCCTCTTCTACCTCTCTCTCTCCCTCCTCTCTCCCCCTCCTCTCTTGCTTTCCCCCTCTCCCCCCTTCCTCTTCCCCTCTCTCCCTTTCTCTCCCTCTCTCCCTCCCTCCCTTCCTCCCTCTCTCTCTCTTTCTCCCCCTCCCTCTGTCTCTCTCACACAAATGCAAATAATAAATAAATAAATACACTCCTTCTCAATGAGAGGATCCCACCCCACCCCATCTTACCTTGTGTGTTTGGGCGAGGAGAGTCAGTCCTGTGTCACCCCAGACTGAGACACCTTTGCTGCACACTGGGTTCCACCCCTCATCCCCACCCCATGACAATGGTTTAGTTTAGTCTTCTTGCATTCAACCAATCCAGGCCCTCACTCCTCCTACTCAGGGGTAGGGTGAAGGTAGCCACAAGGTTCTTTAGGCCCTGCAGCCATCTGCTTACTCTTTCAGATCAAGCTTGGACGTTGCCTCCTTTTGGGATTACAGAGAGGCTGAACAACATCGCAATCCAGGTTTCCTGCTAGATTAGAACCACTCCAGGTATGGGACCTGCTGTTAACAGAATGTTCTTTAAAGTCTTTATTGGAGAATTTTCTTGGGGCTTGGGAGATAGGTAAAGTGCTTGCCAATGTACACATGCGTACACACACATTAAACTCTTCATATATATGCTTTTAAACACACAAAGGACATTAGAGTATACTGATTTTGAGAGTATGAGAATTGGAAACTAGGGCCTCTGCATACCAAAATTGTGGTAAACCACTGAGTTACCACCTTCTCCTTTTCCCCCTGGGGTTTTAACTTAATCTTCGAAAAGTTTCACCCAGCCTCCAAGTACTCTGAACTTGCCAGGTGGTCAAGAGTCCATCTCATGACTTCTGAGAGTGCTCAGGACAGAGCTGAAAGTGTGTAGACATACCCTCAGCCCTTAAGGAACTAACTCATCATGTCTTACGAGACAGAAGCTACCTAGAAAAGGAAAAGGAAATTATAAGACGTGAGCAGAAAGGCAGAGAAAGCTCAGGGAGAGCACTGGAGTGAGCCCAGCAGGAGTCACATTCGAGCTGCTTTCTGGCAGGTGGAGTGCTTAAGCAGACTCCGTGAAGAACCTACCTGATGCAGACAGCCACAGCAAGTACGCCTCAATGCTCTGCGGTCGGTTTGACTCAAGTTTCTTATGCGCGGCCCAGCAGTCTCTTCTGTATTCAGTGAGTGGTAAGCCAAGGGCTGGCTCAGCTGGGACTGCTGAATTTCATGACACAGTGGCCTCAGGGCTCTGGAACTTGCATAAAGTCGATCCAAGTAGTTTATTGATCATAGTCATAAGAGTGCCCCAGATGAACGGGGGTCGAGAGTTCTGGAAACTGATGGTGATATTTAACCAGTCCCATTGAGGGCTGAAGATGGTTAGGGGTTCCCACAGCAGATGAGGAGGGGTGTAGAAGGGGAGGAGGCACTGGGAAGGGGATCACGCCTGTGAGGCACTCAAGATATACTGTGGAGAGAGGAGCGTTAGGCCTGAAGACACAAAGGAAGTTGAGAGGGTTGGGGAGAAGGGTCTTGAATATCATCTTTCTCCCGATTATTGGAAATTTTTCACAAGTTGTTATTCATGCTCATGAGTCTACTATATCAGCCTACTCTGGAAGCAAGGTTAACAGAGGGAAGATAATCCCGGAGGAGGGGTAGTGCCTAGGGCTGAGGCCTAAGTAGGTAGGGGCTCTCAGGGTAGAGGGGTGAGCATCTTCATGGCTTGGGGACTTACCTGAGGGTCTGCATGAGACGAGTGAGGGGCGGGAGCTGGGGGAGTGGAGGAAGGTAGTCAAGGATGAGAGAGAGCAAAGGTTTCTAACGGGCTGTGTCTGGAAGAGCAGGGCAGTCTACAGACTCACCAGAAACTCCACGGAAGGGCGGGTTCTGAAGGAGCGGCTTGAGCACAGGTCAGATCTGGGCAGGAGCAGTCCCAGGAAGGGTTTCTACCACATTTCTCTCCAGGCCTGGGGCCCACCATTTTTGAGGTGATTAATGGTTGGCTGACTAGATTTAAACCTGTTTTCTTTAAGCCCCCCTAAAACCTCTCCACAGAAATGTCTTCTGTAAAATTTGAGAGTAAGTTGAGGTGGAGAGAAGGATTCCTGGGGGTAAGGTTATTAGAATAAAATGAGGACTTGAAGACAAACATTTATGGCCTCTGTAGGAAGTCTCTGGAGTGACCAAAACTGATATAGGCAAGGATGTGGGGGAAATGGCTTTGAAAACATATGCTCAATTCAGAGGGGGAATTAAAGCAAGCCTAACCCAGTTCTTTCTTTATCTTCTCCCTTATAGCAGGTGGTGTAAAAAGTCTTGGTCCGCGGACTGTTCTGCCACACCTTTAGTATGAAAGACAGGTGTGTAATAAGAGCTTTGCTTCTTACCACTTCCAACACAAACAGGTGTTGTGGGTACAGGCCAGCCCCTGATGTTTGTTCTAGGCAACGCGGATCAGTGAGAGGGATCTGGGACAGGAGTTGACTCTGTCTGCCCAGAAGTTATGAGGTCCTCAACAGACTTGGGCCAGGTAATCTATGACAGGGACACACGGAAGTCACCGGTTGGATTTAAAATTCTACATTTCACAAATACAGAATCTAAATATTAGTTAAGTAACTTGGCCACAGTTACACAGCTCTTTGGTGGAGGTCCAGGATCCTAGCCCAGGTTTTCACGTGCACGGCAGGGAAATGATGTATCTAAAGAGGATAACTCAAAAGGATTCACACCTGTGGCTCCAGCCGTGTTCTGAGCCCCTCTTCATGTCAACCCTGTAGCTAGCTCTGCTGACAGCCGCTGGGCCTCTCCAGGCTTTCCTCTAAGTGGCTGGTGTCTCTTAAAATTGAGGGTCTGTTACCTTCACAGACTTAGGCAGGACCTGAAAGAACAGGCTGACTACAGTCTAACTAATGCTGTAGATAGGCTCGCTTAAGCGTTGTTTTGTTTTTATACAGGAAGGTAACAAAGAAAGCAATGATCCAAGGAAGGTTGTTTGAATTCATAAATACGTGATCAGAAAAACATGTAAATAAATACCATCAAGCACCTGATAAATATTAACCAAGAGAGCAACCCTTCCCCAGAACTTTCTCAGGACAGACCACTTAGGTGCAGTTGCCTGTCACGAACTATACATCACATCTGGGAAAGAACCAAAGCAAGGCAGAAGGCCATATGCAGATTCAGAGGACAGAGAGGATGGCCCTCAGCATATCTTTTCACATTTCGGGTCGGATTCTGTAGCTATGCTTCAATATCCAACAAGAATAAATGTATCTAATAAATTGTTGTAGGGAGGCTGCTAGTTTGTCTCCCGGCCACCCAGCAGCTCAGACCCGGAATAATCACACAGAAACCATATTAAATCACTGTTTGGCCCATTAGCTCTAGCTTCTTATTGACTAACTCTAACATTTTAATTTAACCAATTTCTAGTAATCTGTGTATCACCACATGGCAGCGGTTTACCAGGTAAGTTCCCAGTGTTGTCTTTGGTGGGGCTATATGGCTTCTCTCTAACTCCTCCTCCTTTCTCCCAGCATTCAGTTTAATTTTCCCTGCCTAGCTCTGTTTCCTGTGCAGGCCCAAGACAATTTCTTTATTAACCAATGGTATTCACAGCATACAAAGGAAACTCCCACATCACCTCCCCTTTTCTGTTTAAATAAAAAGGAAAGTTTTAACTTTACCACAGTAAAATTACATATGACAAAACAGTTATCAAGAAAAAATTACAGTTACAATACTTATATCTACTTTATCTTCTATCATAACTAAGGAAAACTATAACTAGAACTATCTACTCCATCAAAGACTCTAGAAGGTTATAATATTTCCTAAGTAAACAGGAAGTGTATTGTAAGCAACTTCTAAAACTCTATAAATAATAGAGACATCTATCTCTCTGCCTGGACAATCACCCAAAGTTCTTCTGTACCACTGGGGCACCTATCTTCAGTCTACTGACCCATAGTATTTGGCAGACTTTTCCATAAAGCAGGAAATTTCAAAGACAGTTCCACCTATATTGGCAGTTTGTCAGTCACTTTCTTCTGTGTCCTGCAGAATGTTTAGCAGACTCTTTCATGAAGCAGGAACTCTGAAGGATCATCTCACCCTTAGGCAGGTTCAGCAGTCATTTCTCTGTGGGTCCTACATGTCCAGTTCATCAAGAAGTTCAGGCAAGAGCAGTTTCTTGCCTAAATGGCTAACCAACTCTATAAGGGGCCTCTTTGATGCTCATCATCCTCTTGAAGTAATTGGTGCTGCCAGGAGCAGATGTGTCTCATTGTCATGAAAAGTCCTAAGTTCTTAAACATTTTAAATGCCATACTCTGTAGTCTTTGAAAAGTTTGAAGAATGCCTATCCATCTGAAATATATCTCTGTACATCTAGAAAATCTAACATGGCTATAAGCTTGACTATTACGCATGATTATCTATTAACCTATATTTCTTAATTATGCATTACATTTTTAAATAAACTTGACAAACACAATACCTTAATCAAGATCAGAAATGCATATACATAGTATAACAAAACTGACCTTAAAATTGTATCAATAAACCAAGATCCATACCAATGCAAATCTCTATAGCATATCCCCTGTCAGATGTAAACAAACATTTACAAACAATATTTGGGAATTTTGGCATAGTTCTCTCCAAACTACTTCCTGCTGTTTATTGGGTGAAGTAATTTTTAGAGGGGTGTTCAAGGCAACATTTTAGGGGATCTTGGTCCACCAAATCACATTCCATCCTCTGTGGAAACAAAAGAAGAACATCTTTTCCAAAGTAGCATATCCTTAAACCCCAATTTTAAAGACAAGATATCTTTAAAGTATATAGGTTGGTTACTTAGCTCCTTCACAGTCAAAAAATTCAAATAAAACACAATAATATACATAATCTAGACACTCTGTGTATAGTCCATCTTTACGTGGCTTATTTGTTTTCATGCTATTACTTTTTAATATTTATTTTATTATCTTTACTCCTTTAATATGTAACTATATCTCTTTAAAGGCTTTTTCTTTTTTTAAACCCATTTATTTTTATAACTCTCTATACCCTTTTTCTTCTCTCTCCCAAGCCTACGTACATTTTTAAAACACACTGTGTCTCATTTAGAGGTCTTTTTCATCTGAATTTGTCTTTATTGTGTATCTGTAATTATTTTCTGACCAAAAGTGCTTCTTAAAATGCTAAGCCTTTCTTATGAACT